TATCACTCACCAGGATTTAAAAAAAATACACATAAGAAGCAAGAAGCCTAATGAATGTAGCTATAAAACTGTCAAATACACAAATCCCAAACCTTCAAACATACCTTCTAATGTTTCTCGTTTTCATTACCCCTGTTCTCCCCCTCTGTCTGGATTTCTCTAGGTGTATGAGTGTAATTGGCACTCAGTTTCTTTAATTAAAATGAGGTCTAATTGTAGCTGAGGCAGGGCAAATGGTCGTATGCCTATAATTTCCCTCTTGCAATCCAGAACCCCTGAGAAAGTAAAAAATAGGGAGGGAACTAGAACACGGTGTAGAAATTAACACAGATGTGAAGTTACATACAAAAAAGAAAGAGGGGCCTCAGGTCAAATGGCCTCCTGCTCTCTGGTTTGTGGACATTTGTTGAGCCTGATGACAGCTGTGTAGAAAACAAAGGTGTCGTTTGCTTTGTTTTACTCTCCTTTTGTCAAAAAACACAAAGTCTGGTTTTACATTTCAAAAGAAACCGTGTCCAACACCCTCCACTGTTATCTGCTTTCCATGCAGAAAAAAACTAAAACCTCTCCCTCTGCTGTGTTTTCCCAACATGGTGTGATGATAAAAATAAAACTCTATCATGTTAATACTGATATCTCAACCTATTTACTCCACACTCACCTCTCATTGGCTGTACTTGAAAACAAGTGGCTCATATGTCTGTTGAGAATGTATTTTTTCATAATTCTGATTCCAAGGCTCAGTACTGGTTCTCCTGCCAGCGCCAGTGTCGGTTTAGACTGGTCTGGTGTCTGTTAATGCCGACGATTGTACTGTAATTACTGTACAATTGTTTGTTTGGGTTTTTAAATATGACCAGATGACTAATTTTCATTGTTCCTAAATTTTTCTTGCACTCAGGGCAATTTTCCGGCAGTGGGTGGCCACCTCTGCTGAAAGAATGTAGGGGAAACGCTGGCTTCCTCTAACGGGGCTTAAGCTTGAGTCTGCTTCAGTGAAAGGCAAGGCCGTGCATGCACATAATAGAAACACTCGCACTCACGCATCCTGTCTCATAAACCTTAATGATAGAGCAACTATAAACAGTGATAACCAAGCCTGGGGCCGAGTGTTTCTTTACCACTCCTTCCCTCCCCCTAAAAAATCACCATAAGAAAAAAGAGCCAGGTGTTCATATGAAAAGTGGAGACCAGGCTGTCTTCACACCGGAACCTTAGTATTATGAAGGTGTTTGAAATTATGCTGAAGTGAACTCGAGGCAGACTAAATGCAGGGAAAGCACCGGCCTGAATTGTGCCACCCAATTATCCTCCCCATCCACCTCTGTCCTCTACTTTTCTCCCTCCTCTCTTTGCAGACTTTCCTCTCCTCCCCTTTATTACCCGCCTCAGATTGTTGGCTTCTCTGGTTTTGAAGTGGACGAGGGTGAGAAGTGTGTTTGTGTTTCTTTCCAGGGAGTTTGGGCACGGGAGTGCAAAGCGAGTAGATTGTAAAAAGAGAAATGGTAGAAGTGCAGCGGGAGACATCTCTGATTGAAGCTACATTTACCATTTACCTCTCAGCGTGACATAATGACAGGCTTGCTGCATATGTAGCACCGATGATTAGTGAAGTCATGTCGCTGCTTCCGTGTGCTGTGCATTGAGAGAGGTCGATGGGAGGGAGGAAACGACACTGAGGTGGAATGCAATAAGTAAAATTTAAGTAATATTCGCCGTCGACAGAGGGGTGGAGAGGGGGGTGGGGTATGTGCGTGTGTGTGTTGTTCCCTGATGGTGAATGTATTAAATATCAGGGGCTCAGATGTGAGCAGCTGTGGGTGTGATTGAGTGACCATTGAAAACGTTAATGGGAAAAACAAAGATATAAAGACGCAGATATTAATAGACAACACTAGATGCTGTCCACTCTAAACGCTCGCTCTTTTATGGTTAATTATTTTGCATGAAGATGTTTATGTGTCGCAGTTAAACGTGTTTTATTCTGAAGGAGGAGCAGCGTCGGGGAAGAGGAGGGTGTATTTATTTAATGAGCTTGTCAAAGGATGTATTTTTATGAGTTTTTGTACAGAAATTGTGACTTGTGATCATGGTTTGACTGTAACAGTGGTGCTGCGTTCAGACCTGTGCTGGAATCCAGACATTCACAGTGAGAGAGGACTCGTGTTGATGTTTCGAATAAAGCAACAGACACAAAACTAAAAAAGAGGTGCCATGCAGAACATTTCTACTTGGAAAGACAATGAAATTTGAGGGTTTCTGACGAAAAACAACAATTCTACAGAAGCACTTATACATCATGTCCTGCCACCTGCCGTGCTTTACCCAAGTGCCACCCCTCGCCTCAATGTTCCGGACATTTTCTTGCTGTTGTGTCTGACTCTGACAATCGCCTGCTGCGATCTTCATTGGTAAAAGTCCAGAGAATATCTGGACACACTTGTGTGGACATTCTCCAAAGTTTACTTCTGAAAAACTGCTTGAGGGAAACGAAAATTTGAACATTAAGCATAATGGCAGGACAAATAGATATACCCTATGTTACCTGGTTAGAATATTCAAATATCATCCTGAATAAATGTTGTCAGCTGAGCACAATTTAACATCAGTCTCTGGACGGCTGCAGCTACAATATTTGTCTCAGTAGCGAGATTCAGATTCTGCTTTGTCTATCTTTTTTGATCTATGCCTTCATGTGTGTTTCATCGGGATGTGGGTTGGCAAGTGGTAAATATGATTGCCTCTCATTTCCACAGGATCACAGAGATTAGTAACTGTAGGCGTTTCAGTTATTTTAATGAAATACTACAAGTTTTTATCTCTGGAAATGGATTCCCATATTATTTGAACTTGGCAAATATCAAAAGCCTTTTAATAAACCAACAGAAGAGGTCTTATTAAAAAGAGAAGCAGGCGTCTAATCTCACATTTGGGTGAATACAGATGGAATCACTGAATCTGTGTCAAACATCAGACGAACATGTATTCAGAGCAGCTGTTCTGGAACAAAGTGACATGTTGAACCAAGTAGGCGGTGGAAACAACTCAGCTTAAACAGTTGAGAAAAGCAACAGTTTGGCCCTGACCATCGTTTTTTATGATTATCATATTTGCCAGTTACAGTTAAAAACAATAGGCAACGATACAAGGAACTGAATCTCATTAAAATTCCAAATCAGTCTTAAAGATATAAGTGGACCATATTCTGTATATGAAGTACTATCAGTGAAATCAATAGTGTACCCTGGAAGGAATACCAGAGCTGGGGAATAAAACAATTTCGTTATTGCAATATTATTATCATTCATAGCAACATAACAAAAGTCCAATATATAATGATGTATTGCTTATGCATTGTGCAAGCACAGTGAGGATGTAGAACACATCATTGATCAACCTCAGATTTAGTCTCTATAAACAGATTCCACATGTGAATATGCAGAATCTGTAGGCGAGGGACAAGATTTGGGGCCAGAAGCTTCTGGTTTCAGTTTCTTGTTTGACCAGTCACCTCTGAATAGAAACGATTGAGCTATTGGTTTTTAAATAATCTGTATTCATATGCAGATAGCTGTTTATGGAGATTAGCCAAAATGTCACCTGGACCTAAAACACATTAAAAAAGTGTTGCAGTCTGTGTTTTGTGTGGAGAGATGTTTTCGACTTGTGTGATAAAAAGAAACTAGTCAGGCTGTAAACAATGTGGGGCGAACATATACCAGAGTCTAAGCCTGATTATCTACTGTCTACACAGCAAGCTCAAAAATATTGTCCGTTGCCGCCAGAGACAGTTATATCGTCAGTGTGTGTTTCGCTGTTTATCAAGTGCTTGTCATTCTCTTCTCATAAAGAAGAGTTTAAAACCACAACCTTTACTTGGAAGGAAAGATCAGTCTTTAAACTTAAAAGAAATAAAAATGCGACATTTATCCTGTTAATTATCGATACCGGCTGATACGAACATTTTTAATTGGATATAATTTTGGCCTTATAGCTCCAGCCCTAAAAAACACAAACCTGTAGAAAATGCGATTGGGGAAAAGTAAGGCCATTAAAAAAACCTGTGTGTGTGGGTTATGGAATGCTGACTTTACTGTTGAACCTCATACTGGGAGCTTAATTCAACAAAACATCTTAATAACCTCCATGATAAACTCTCACTGAAAACCCCCATTTCCTTCACCATCCACTTTCTCCTTGATCGTGGTGCACAGGAGCACTGCATTAAATCCCGTTTATTGGTAAAACCAAACTGCCTGACCCTTGAGATGAGCTTCTGCAGGGGGGGGGGGGGCATGGACGGCTCTAAAAGTCGGGTTTGCGAGAGAAACCTCATACCATCAGTATAAATATGAGTCATAATTTAACAGAGACAATCTGCGGTGACTGCCGGCGGGGGAGGAAAAAAAGATGTCCACACGTGAAAAAGAAGTCCCTCCACTGTACCCACACCTCACTGTGCTTCAAGTTACATGCAGCTCAGGCCCCAGATATTATTGGGATAGTGAATCGTAGCAGAACTGCTCAGATTGTTTGTGAGCTGGCACCCTCACACTCAAAAGATTACAAAAAATCAATTCTGCTGTTATCACAGATCGTGACTGGAAGGGCTTTAATCTTTTATATATATGTGTGTGTGTGTGTCTGTGTCTGTATCTGTGCACGTCTGGCTGATACTCTTTTTCCCACTTCCTTCTGCTCTGACTCGCTCCCTTGACAAAAGCCGACTCTTTTCACCAGATTCAGTGCGACCACAGCCATGATGTGTCTCTGGGGACAGAGGGGACATGAGGGGAATAAAAACAAACAGGAGAGAAAAGACAATTTTAGGGGAGTGGGGGGAATGTCCCTGTTGGACCGAGTGATGAAATTCCATCTTCTACCCTTATACCAGTATAATCGAGAGCTACGTCCACTTTTAAATCCACTTGTGTGTAATAGGTGTAATACGTCTATTTCCTCCTAAGTGATATTATATATATTTTAATCTTCTTTTGCAGAGGTCCTGATGAACACTAAGGCAGAGACATCCGATCTGAAATGGACCATCTTCTCACGCACCAAACCCGAGGTATGTAACCCCAGCTCCACCATGTTATCTGTATTCCTAACACAGACCTCGTGGTGACTGGGGGGATTTTTGGCTTCCAGCTGTTCCTTTGTTACTTGGGCTATAAAAGAGTTCCTTATATGGCTGGTAACTGACAGAATAAAGGAAACGCCAGAGCGAATGTGGGATTCAAAGTATATTGAAAGCAGATGCTTTGATTTATCCCATTAACCTTAGAGCTGCCCACAGCTTTGAATAGTGCAGCCAGAAAAATACATATTTGTAATTTGATCAACTGAGGAGCAGTTGCTAGGGTTTCTAAGTTTTTTTTTTTGCCAGTGACCAAAACTGCTCAACTCACTGATGTCTCAGAAGGAAAAATGGTAACAGTGAATCTGGCAGAGGGAGATTTCTGGACCTGGACTGAAATGCTCAACAAACGTGTCTGTGCTTTTGATTAAAATCCAAAGACTAATAGTCTAAAATGCTTTTTTTGCAGACGTCACCATTGAAACGGTTTATTAAAAGCCTCACATCGTCAAAACCGCAACTTAAAACTATTGAGTATGAAACATTGATGTAGTGGATGTGGACAGGCGGCAGCAGGGGGATGCCACAAACTGTCTGCATCAGATATTACAGTTTGTAAAGGATTACTGTGGTTATTTATTTTCAGGATTCAGGGATTGTTGTGGCTTTCCAGTTTCCAAAATACCTAATCATCGTTAAACGTTGCATTCGCTTTTTATTCGGAGGCCAAATAAAGCTTATATTCACATCAAACCTCCAGTGTAATCGTTTTATTGCATTTTAATGAAATCATAAATATAATTTCATGGCTTCACGGTGATGTTTATCCAACTACAGTTGCGCAATCAGGTCCTTTGTGAACAGCGATCACACAGGATTAACCCCCGCCACGTGTATTAACACACATGTTGAATATTTGATTAAGTCGAAGCTCATGAACTAAGAAGTTTCTCTGCACAACATTCACAGGATCGTTTTTAATGTGTGTTTGCTGCAGCTGCTATTTTTAGGTCTATTCAGCGTAGCAAAATTTGCCCTGTGGTATCTCAGCCTTTTGCATACAACTGATGTATTGTGTAAAACCGTACATCTCTATATTTGTAATTCTTTCTCCGATTTGCATTCAAACATAATTTCTCCCCTGTAAATGCTTCTTTTTTTTCTTCGATCCAGATGAGCCCTGTGGGACGCTTTGTGCATCTCCATCACAGAAAACATTTGGTTCTCAGACATATGTGCTGCTAAAGTCCAAAAGTATTTATTTGTGGGGATTAGAAGGGAAATTCTTGCTTCAAGTGATTCAAACCTGGCTCTCTGTGCTGTGCCACTGTAATTCATTCAGACCAGTATTCTGCCTCACTCAACACATCATCTGCAAATGGATTTTTAAAGATTTACATATTTACATAACTGAATTTTTGAGCCCCAAGTTCAGTGAAATCTACTAAATTCTGCCCCGAGTATGTTAATTTCCTCTTGTTTCCCGCTCTTGGGAACATAGTGGTGGTGAACATGTTCGCTGTTGACTCAGAAGTCAAACATGAAAGCGTTTTCCAGTTGAATGTGGCTCCCCAACAAATGTGGATTTCTGTAGAGGTTTTTCAGATCATACATATTTGCGATATCCCCTCTGTATTCTTACGCTTTAGTCTAAAAGTGTGTTTGAGGGGTGAAAGCTGTGTCTGCCTTGGTGCTGTGAGCAGTCGTGTGCTCTGTTTGACAAGTGAGACTTGTATTCCCACTAGCTGAGCTGCAGCTCAGTGGGAGGAATGATTTAACAACCCAGATTCAAATTTGGGCTGGATCAAAACCCACAGCAGGCCAGATTCTGTCCCACAGTGCTCTGACAGGTGCGTTACAGCAGAGGGCCAGCAAAGAACTGCAACATTATTATGATTAATAGGACTTTTAATGGTGACCCATTATAACAAGACGATAGTGAAGGTTTTTATAGGGCAATTAAATATACTCTGATCTCACAAAAAAGTTTTTCGGGGTCAGATGTCATTTTAACCTGACGACACTTTGTTCTCCTCTTTCCTCTCAGTGGGAGGAAGTGAGCGGTTTAGATGACGAGAACAACAGCGTGAGGACTTATGAGATCTGTCAGAGCGACAGCTCATCTAGCCACTGGCTGCGCAGCGGGTTCATCCCGCGTCGAGGAGCATCTCAAGTGTACGTGGAGCTGCGGTTCACCATGTTGGAGTGTTCCTCCAGGAGCACCCACCACCGCAGCTGTAAGGAGACCTTCAACCTCTACTACTTCCAGGCAGACTCTAACGAGGCCACAGCCACTTACCCACCCTGGATGGAGAATCCGTACACCAAGGTACGTCCAACATCACTGTCGCATTGTTATAGGAGATCATTGTTTTTTAATCCATTTTGTTTCACTGTGGTTGTTTCAAGAATTACTTTTTTAAATAGTTTTTTATATTTATTTATGACATATTAAGCCTCAATCAAAGGTGTACGACACCACTATCACTTTAATAATATGGATTGATCAATTGGACTTTAATGTTAAAAAACTGTCCTAAAGTCCACAACAATGACTTAAATGTGCCTCTCTCGTGTGACAAACAGTTAAGAACACGGTCATATAATGTATAATATTCAATTGACTATTTATATATTTGGGATGAACTCATAGAAGTTTGTGATGAGTTTGAGTGTGAATTTAAGTTACTTGACTAATTGTAACAGCTCTAATCATCTCAATCCAAGATTGCCCTCAGGTTCACTAAAGTTATTTAGTTTCAAACTTACATTTGTAAACAGAAACCTTATGTTTCAAACTGAGTCTAGAGTTTAAAACGTGGCCGTCTACCAGGCAAAGACGGCTTAAAAAAAGATTTTGAATTGCATCATGCAAATCTTAGTATTCAGTACTTGTGATTTCATACTAGGAATAATTTGTATATTCTTTATGGATGTGCAATATGAATTTGCAAATCCTTTTCACATCATTGAAAAAGTCCTTATCTTTCCATTTGACAATATTATTGAATCTCTCTTTTTCCCTGGTTCAACAGTTTTTTAACTAAATACAATTAACTTATTATTTTAAACTTTTTTAGCTGTTTATCTATATTATAATGTACTGATATTATACTGTAAATGATGTCTGACCATTTGTCAAAGCATAAAGTGGCTTCTAATCCCCCAACATGCAGTTGGCTCACACCCAGTTCATTACAATATTAAAATCAGTTCACAGAGAAAATAGTTGCTTTGAGTGTTTAATTTTCTCACTTCTTATATTGTATATCTTAGTTTACATTATTGTCTCATGGGAGCAGAACCAGTCTTTCAAACTCTCCTCATTGATACTTTCAGTCTGTTAACTCCCCTCATGTTGTGTAGCTGATGAGCACCGTCCTGGCCAGTGTCTCCTCATCAAACCTCTGATGTCAGAGCACCGCTGAACACAACGCTAAAGAGAGCATTCAAAGCTGTCCCCGCTCCTCGTCTTCATTACCACTTAGTGATGTAACTATGACAGAAAAATAAAAAGGGAGGAAATGTTCACCATGATGAATTACCTCTTCTCTGGAGCCAGTTTCAACTCCCTGCGAGTGGAGCTTCAAAGCGCACTGTAACAAATGGGAAACAATGGGTGCCAGGAAGGCAGTAAATCAATCTGAAATCACAGCAGTACGCTTTGGAAAATGTTCAATAATGTAAAGCACATGTGATGTTTCAGTTAATGGTCAAAAATGTCTAAAACATGTAAAACCCCCAGTCTCGTCCTCATTATGAATCCTGTGTGTTTGAATCTGGAGGTTATGTAACATCCTTTCTCTTTCTTCCTGTCCTAGGTGGACACAGTGGCTGCAGACTTTCTCTTGAGGAAGGGCGGGGAACGGAAATTTAACGTGAAGACCTTAAGACTCGGCCCCCTATCAAAGAGAGGTTTCTACTTGGCTTTTCAGGCTCAGGGTGCCTGCATGGCCCTGCTTTCTGTCAGGGTGTTCTTCAAAAAGTGCCCTCCCCTGGTCAGTGCTCTTTCCTCTTTCCCCGAGACTGTTCCCCGCATGCTTGTGCAAGAGGCACAGGGTGTGTGTGTGGAGCATGCCGCCCAGCAGGGGCCTCGACCTCGCCCTCCGAAGCTCTTCTGCGGGGAAGATGGCCAGTGGGTGGGCCAGCCAACCACCTCCTGCGCCTGCCAGGCAGGATTTGAGGCCACTGAGGGAAACACTCAATGCACAGGTAAATTTATGAACAGGCACATTTAGGCCATGTAGGTAGGCAGCAGAGCAGGCGTGCTTAACAAGAAAACAATGGAGAGTGGGTTTGGCTTAAGGGTCGTTGTATTGAAGAGGAAGTCAGAGACCAAGGAAGTGAAATGAGGGAGGAGAGGGACTTTGACACGGAGGGGAAACAGAGAGGTCAGGTGGGGCAGCACTTATCTCGGGGAGGAAGAGCAAGGTCAAAGGCTCACTGCTGCGGCAACGGGTGGTTCAGCTGAGATAGAAGAAACACAGGAGGTGAAGGTAGTTAAGGGAAGGGGGGGGGGGGGGGGCGCTTGGGGTAAAGATCACATCGCTTTGAGAACATCAAAGCGAAGCAGACAAAAAAAGAAGTAAGAAGCAGGAGGATTCTCTCAGGAGCACAGCAGCAGCTCCGTCTAATGAGTCCAATTAACAAGCCCTGTGCATGAGCACACACACAATCATTACATTTACTATTCTCAAACTATACATAACTGATACTTGTCTGTATACTCTAACATTAAACCTTCAAATTTAAGTCCCCATAAGGTGAGCATGGAAACAGACTTTGGCCCCCACAATATGAGTAATACCTCACACACACACACACACACACACACACACACACACACACACACACACACACAAGGAAAATGATTCACTTGCTAAACAGAAAAAGAAACGCTGCCATTCTCGAGAAAAAGGAAATGTGTGTTTCTCTCTGTCTGTGTTTGAAGGTGGGATTCAGTTTGATCTCTGTGGGAGGTATAATCATTTTTCATAACAAAAAATAATAAAAAATAATTTGCGACATTTTGCTTCTGGTGAAGTAGGGTTGGCATTTCCAGCGTTCTGTTGCTGAAGAGAGCTGTGAGGAGGGGGGGGGGGCCTCTAGACCATAAAGGGAAATTGCCTTCGCAGCAGGACTGAGCAGTTAATTTGCAGCGTAGGCCGGTCATTTCAGAAAATGAAATTGACATCCAGGCTTAAAATGAAATTAATTTAGCTGTAATGCCATTATCTCCCATAGACAATGCATATACTTCCTGCGTCAAACACAACCCTCTAACTTAAAATTTATGAATGCTGTCGGGTTGATTTAGTGTTTGAGATGAGCTCGATTAGTATATTTAAACCATATCTTTGAAGTAAAGCTGTAGCCGGCTATAAATACTGCTGCATGGGAGGGGTTGATTTCCCCATTTGTCCCTATGCCTTTACCATAGTTATATAATGTAGAAGATTACAGGATGACACCGACATAAATGTATTTTATGTTGTGACAAAATGTCGACAGATGTCAACAAACTCCAAAAATGGAGGTGGTGAGGTTTTCAGCACATCTCACCACTCCCCAGTGACTTTTCTCACATGTGGGATATTCCTGTGTGAATATGTTGGCCACACAGTGTGTTTGTTGTTATGTTGCTCTCATTCAGCCAGAATAGTAAACACTGCAGGTGTTGGTGCACGAATGTGGCGCCACAAGGCGACAGCTCATTATATATTCATGTGTAGGACAAGTGCTGGTGTGGATCAGAGGAAAAGAGTGCAAAATGCTGCACAACAAGAAAACAAATGGTTAAAACGCAGAAGGAAGTACGTAAATACTCATGGTAGAGATTAAAGACCAATAATAATCTGACACCCCAAGTAACTTCAGGAACATGCCGACCGAAAAAAGTATGTTTTAGGCAAGACTTAAAAGACGACACCGTCTCAGACATGCAGCCTTGTTTCTTCAGGCAATTCCTTCTAGAGCCTCGGGGCCTTGATGACAAACTGTCCCCCTAGCTCTCAGCCTAGATCCAGGACGTGACAGCAGATGCAAACCTTTTAACTTGCTCCTTACCCGGATCATGTCCCACCCCTTCACAACATTTCATGGAAATTGGTTTAGTAGTTTTTGAGTAATCATGCTAACTAACAAGGTTATTACTTAAGTGCACTGTGTCTTCATATCCTGAGTATTACCGTGTTGCTTTGAGTGAAAAGACTTTGTTTGATCTTGTTCTTCAGATGTGATCAGATAAATCCAGTGATAAGCAACATACCAAGGTGTGTGTGTATTCACTGCCCGATCTATATCAGTGTTATTGTCTTCATTTTAGAACCCTTATTGTGTAATTAAGCACCGTGAAAAGCCAAATTTGTAGATTCAGATTCACCCAGCTCCGTCTGGGACACAGCGGGTTTGAAGATCTTGTACAGTGTCGTGTGTAATTTGTCTTCATTTGCTCTCCCCTCTCAGCCTGTCCTGTGGGTCAGTTCAAGTCCGGCATGGAGGAACATTGCGTAAGCTGTCCGAGATTCAGCCACACCACCGTCAGGGGGGCTACGGTGTGTTCGTGTCGCATGCACGGATACCTACGTGCAGAAAGTGACGCTCCCGACACCCCATGCACTAGTAAGTACGCTTTCAGCAGCACTTAACACATGAATCCACATCCAAACATGAAGGTGCAAAGATAACGCTTGTTTGTCTCACCTATTCACCCTCTTCTTCACTTTGTTGTTGACCATCTCTGGGGCTGTTTCTCTTCTCCTCTGGTGTCGTTTGGCCAGGCTCCACTAATCTGCATTGTTTCCTTTTTCTGTGAGTGCCGTCCATTGACATGCGGGTCTTTTGTGGTAGGTTGTGGGGGGGGGGGTCTCTCCACAGTTAAAGAAGGCATTGATAGTCTCAAGTGACACCTCCATGCCAATTCAGGAATTTTAATTCAGCGACATGTTAGGCATTTAAATGGGAGGGGCTTTTCAATGAGGTGCATTCTCTTGCAGTGGCTTTTGAGAGGAAGTGAAACAATGTGACACTCAGGCATCGGGCTGTTCACGTCCTCTGTTCTCTGCAGGTGTGATATTAATGCCAACTAGGATTCAAATCCACCAATTTCATTATTACTGATAACTTTAATTACCAAAGCCTTATCTTAATTATTAATCTCTTAATCTCCCCATTTCTGTTTTTGTACTAGATTGCCTGCACATCACTTAAATTTTCAATTTAAATGCTAACTTGTAAACCAGACGTCCAGTAAATAACACGACTCTTTCCCCTTCAAAATAAGAGTTCTACATGAATTTGGCAGCCTCTGTGATTTTAATAAAGTGGATTCTGGATTTTAAATTGTAAAAGACATCACCTCTAAAAATCCTCAAATTCATGATTCATGTGCACCCACATTGTGTGTGATGTTGCCCCACTTGAAAACACGCATTAGCACTTAAGCTACCTGCAGGCTCCCTGACAAAGCTTTGTCTCCTTGGCAGGAACAGAAACTCATCCTCAGTGGTATTGCTGTTCAGTTATGCTTGGCTTGAGGCAATAGCCACCTTCATATGGTTTTCAGTCAGCGGTCATTATCATCCACTTAACAGACATATTTGCACCAGTTAAATTCCACAACATGTACTACGCTCCCGTTGTGGCACTATGCGTCATTCTGCAGGGTGCCGACGTACAGACCGATGCCTTCAGCGCATGTGGGAAATAAACGTAAAGAAATGGACTGTGTGGGTCACTGAGAGGTAGAGCAGCAGCAAACTGACACAGAAGAGATTAGAATTTGATTTGAGAGAGAAATTGTGTGGGGGGGTGGGGGGGGGGCTGGTGATGCTTTCTGAAGACATTTAGTCACAAGAGAAAACTGTGACATGTTTTCATATTTGATCAGTTTAACAAGTTGCATCACCTGGGTCTGACATTAATGCTGCTGTTACAACAGGGTTACTTCTTCATGTTAGGTTTAGAACTGAATGAGATGACTGCATGTTAGACATGAAGAAACAGTCACCATGCACTGAACTCTGGACATTCCCCTGAAATTATCCAAGGGGAAAGATTTTTCTGTTAAAACAGCTTTAGTGTCCAATCCTTGTTTTAATACTACAGTGAAGGCCTATCTAAATTGAAGCATTTCTTTCCTCATCACTGTAGAACCTCCGTCAGCCCCTCGTAGCATCAGCAGCAAGATCAACGACACCACCCTCTGCCTGGAGTGGAATGAGCCCCTGGACAACGGTGGCAGAACCGACCTAAGCTACGCCATCAAGTGCTCTGTGTGCAGGCCGCCCAAGGGACCATGTCTCCCCTGCGGAGACAGCGTCAGCTACCGGCCGGCTCAGCAGGGCCTGCTGGGTCGCAGGGTAGAAGTGTGGGGCCTGCTGCCGCACACCACCTACACCTTCACCATCCAGGCGCTCAACGGGGTGTCTGCACTCAGCGGAAAGGACCCTGCCAGTGAAAGCGTCAACATCACTTCAAACCATGACGGTAAGATGGGAGAAACGTAGAGGTGGAAACGTAGAAAACATTCTGAAGTTTCATGTGTTATTTAGAATTCTTCTGCCGTCTGTGCAGTGCCATCGCTGGTGTCTGTGATTCGGAAGAGTGACTCCACAGAGAGCAGTCTGACTCTGCACTGGTCAGTCCCAGCTCAGCAGCACTACACCATCCTGCAGTATCAGCTACGCTACTGTGAGAAGGTGAGAGCTCCCTGATAACATCTCTCTATTCAGAGTTCATTCTTTTATATTCACACCACACTAAAGCTCAGGATTAGTAAAGTCTCTGCCACAATGCAGATGTAGCAAACAGGGCGTGGCAGCGGTTAATATGGATTTCCTCACACGCCCCAAAACAGACAAGCAAATATGTACTGCAAATATTTGACAACGTTAATGAAACATTGCAGCTCAAAACATGGATTTAATTTCACTTTGTTTCAGTGACGCATGGTGCTTCTGAGACACAAGATGTTTTTTTTGTGGATAAAATCAATTTAAAAACTAATGTAAACCCCATAATGTTAGTTAATGTTGGTTAATTCATAAACATATGAATTAACATAGTTCTGATTAACCCCCTGCAGTCTGCAGTCAGGCCAGCGTGATCAAATCACATGATGCTTGTATGTTTCTGCTTCAGATATGTTGATGCGCTATTTCAAAGTGAAAATTGAATTGTCTGGTAATAAATACAATGATGTGCTTTAAAAACAAGGTTAATATTTGATATAAGAGAAAACTCAAACCATTCAGAAACAGTCAAAATATCCCAGGATTAATGTACAGCGGTAAGTGAAGCTCCAGTTTTATTTCAGGCCAGTCTGAATAAACTTCAATCACCATTCTGCAGTTATTCAGCTTTCATAGGATATTTGAATTCCTGTAGATGATCCTTTTAGTTCTCTGTTCTTTGTCCTTTTTACTGTGATCTCTCTCATTTCCTGACTTATGCCTGTTCTACCTCCAGTCTGACTATAACTTTCTTGATTTTCTCTTAGGAGCGCCGTAGTGAGGATCAGTGCCACTACATGGAGAGTAACAGAAACCAGGCTGTGCTGACAGACCTCCGCAGGGCCACTCAGTATGAAGTGCAGGTGCGGGTGCGCACCATGGCTGGTTACAGCAGCTTCAGTCCTGCAGCCCTCTTCCGCACCCTGCCCGATGGTAAGAGAAACCCTGTTTCCTTGAAGACTTGATAACTTTCACATTTTTCTCTATTTTGTTTTTTCAAATTCTTTTCTTCATATTCAAGCCCTGCACGGTTTCTTTTTATGAATTTATTGCCTTTGTCCTTGTATTGAGTTATTGTCCTTGTATTCAGCCTCTTCAATATTATAAATTCCTGTCATGTTCTTCCCTTCCCTCTCATACTTTTCTTTACAACCAGTATAAACCTCCTGTCAGGATTTCTGTCGTTACATTTCTCTAACTCTCTGTCTATCTGTCTGTTTCCTTTTCTTTTGTCTTTCTCTGTCTCTGTTGTCTTTTTCAGGACATGACTCTGCCTCCCAGTTCTTGGTACCTGGCATCCTCATTGCCGTCGGGATGCTGCTGCTCGTCACTTTCGTCTTTGTGGCCGCTTACTGCATACGGTGAGAACAAGGCAAAGGGAGCAAAAGAAATAGGAGAGGACAGAATAACAGGAAATGGGTATAAAACGGGGGAAATCGAAAACCAATAACAACCGTGACCCCAATTTTACAAGTTTGCCCCACTTTGTTCTCTTGTTTATACAAATCATATCTTATCAACAGTGGGTTTGCCTCCGTTACTCACACCAGTTTTTTTTTTCTCTGTAAGGCACAAAGCAATGCTCATGATGCCTCCTGCTTGCACAGCTAAAACTTATCCTGCTCATTAGAACATTTTCCTGAGGCTTCATTGTTTGAGTAAATAGTGTTGGATGCCATCACAGAGAAAAGTTTGTGTGTGTGTGTGTGTGTGTGTGAGAGAGAGAGAGAGAGAGAAAGAGAGAGAGAGAGAGAGAGAGATGACGATAGAGGTAGAGGGCAGGGAGAGACAGGATGCAGGCGTCCCAACCCTGTTTCCACAGGACAGGAGAACAATAGCTGTGACCTTGTGACATATACACACACACACACACGTTACTTACACACACATACACACAGACCAGTGGCTGAGGCCCAGATCTGCCACTAACCAAGGGTGGTGCATTATTGCTATTTTAGGCTTATGAGGTGGGAGAGGGAGAAATGGAGGAAGGCAGGAATCCAGTAGCTACGGGGTTGTTACAGTCTTGCAGGAGGATAAGTTCTTGCCAGCAGAATTATAATGGAAGCTGCTTGTGTCAAAGAGCAGAACCACCGCGGTTAGCTCAGGTATTCATCATCACCACAAACCACCATGCATTGTGCTTTTGAGATCGCTGGGGCTTGTTTAAAGTCAACAAAAGCCTTCTCACATCAAGGGAGCGTTTCAGTCAAAATATAATAAAAGGATGGCGGTGTTTTTGGAAAAAGACAGAGCACCCTTTACGACACTGGATCTCCATCAACTAGAGGGTACTGGTCTGTGGCCGAGCTGAACCCTGACCTCTCTGTGCGTGGCGCCCTGAGTATTCCCAAAGGGGAATCAATAAATTATCTTATTTTGCTCTGCTGGCTCACATCCTAGAATTTTCAACACCAAGGGAAAATATACCTCCTTTTTTGATGTATGTAGTATAGACAGCAGCACTGAGATCTTTTTTTGTTTTTTCCATCTGAAGAGTCACATTATTACAACATTGACTTGCATCCTATTGAAAAAGCATTAGAAGCGCTTGCCAAGAACAAGTCTGACACTCATTTTTCACTGCCACCCAAATCTTGCTTTATTTATCCCGACCTCTGTCTCCCTGCAGCAGACACAGCCGATTAAAGGATTCAGAACTGAGCGACAAAAACAGCCAGTACCTTGTTGGCCAAGGTAACACAAGGACACACACACACACTCTGAAATACACTAAGCCTCTGCAGCGATTTGCTACTTATTCATCAACATCAAGGAAATCATATTAATCATCCATCTGATATGATTGCGCTCTGCTTATAGTTCTCAAACATTTCTCCTTTTCCTTTCCCACGACTCTGATTGTCTTTTGCTCACAGGGGTCAAGGTTTATATCGACCCCTTCACCTACGAGGACCCTAATGAGGCGGTCCGAGAATTTGCCAAGGAAATTGATGTTTCCTTTGTCAAGATTGAGGAGGTTATCGGCGCTGGTAAGCCCCAGTCACATGCTTTTTCTCATTATTCATAAACTTTGGATTCACAGACTAAGTATTTTCTTTTTCTTTCCCAAAATAACATAATGAAAATATATAATTTACAGAGTTAACTTGCCTCTATGACATTTAAAACCATTGTGTTTGTTCTTTATTAGACAAAACTCAATATTGGCAAGCAAAAAAAGCAATTAACTGATAAATATGTTAGCAGTATTAGTAGCCCTTGTTCAAACCAAAGGGCACCACTTGCTTCCAGCGGGCTTTAGCTTTGCTGAAGATAACTCATGCTCCCAATAAACTCAGGAGCAGCTAAAGAAAACAGCTCTAATGTGTTTATGTGTCTGTGCGGCTGCAGGAGAGTTTGGAGAGGTTTGTCGAGGACGACTGAGGGTCCCGGGGAAAAAGGAGAACTACGTAGCAATAAAGACACTAAAGGGGGGCTACACTGACAAGCAGAGACGGGACTTCCTGTCTGAGGCCTCCATCATGGGCCAGTTCCAGCATCCCAACATTATCCACCTGGAGGGGATCATCACGGCCAGCTGTCCGGTCATGATTCTCACAGAGTTTATGGAGAACGGAGCTCTGGACTCCTTCTTACGGGTGAGTGTGAGATAAGAGATCACACACTGAAATACGCCACCCAAGTCACTCCCGCCCTAATGCAAGTGTTCCTCTCCTCTGTAGCTGAACGACAGCCAGTTCACGCCAATCCAGCTGGTTGGCATGCTTCGCGGCATTGCCTCCGGCATGAAGTACCTGGCAGAGATGAGTTATGTCCACCGGGACCTGGCCGCCCGCAACATCCTGATCAACAGCAACCTTGTGTGCAAGGTGTCCGACTTCGGCTTGTCTCGCTTCCTGCAGGAGAACTCGTCTGACCCGACTTACACCAGCTCTCTGGTGAGATGACATTCCTACTTCAGTTATAAGAAACCCTTCTATGAAATGAATCTGCTGTGTATCATTTCAACTTAAAAAATGGAACATTATGTTCAATAAATGTTGAAATATGACGTAACAATTGTGAAAGTTAATCGTTAAACTTAGAACAAAAGATATTTTTTCACCACTTCACGTTCCTTGTCAGAGCTCTGACCATGTTTGTGTACAGTTTTGCAGTATTGACTGTTTTCCTCTTCTTCCCAGGGGGGTAAGATCCCAATTCGCTGGACAGCACCGGAGGCGATCGCCTTCAGAAAGTTTACCTCAGCCTCAGATGTGTGGAGCTATGGCATCGTCATGTGGGAGGTCATGTCTTTTGGAGAGAGGCCGTACTGGGACATGAGCAACCAGGATGTAAGTTTAGGGTTTAAGTTGAAATTTTCAGATCATCAATGTTTCTGTTAGTCAATTTTCAGTGAAAATGAGTCGCAGAGACCTCACAGACTCATTCAGTTTCGCAACCTGCAAAAAATCTCTATTCTCTGCATCTGTGATGTCCACTGGAGTGTGTCACCTCTCCTCCAGCTTTATGCGTCACTGTGAGCGGGATGCCACGTCAGGCTGAAGAGCAGCAGGATCAGTTGGATTAACCTTGGCTCTTTTTGCCTTTTTTGTGATTTAACGTAGTTTGGGGACTAGTCTGGGTTTGCACTTGGTGAAAGATCTCGTGGTGTGTGATTCTCGCTGCCAGTCAGTCGTGTTGTGGGAACTGCTGGATGCCCGAAGTTGTACAGCGCTAATCTAAGTAGGATTTTCAACCTTTTCCTTCAGTTCATGCATTGATTAGATCTTTTTTCCTCTCCATTAGGTTATCAATGCCATAGAGCAGGACTACCGGCTGCCCCCACCCCCTGACTGCCCCACCCACCTGCACCAGCTGATGTTGGACTGCTGGCAGAAGGACCGCTCGGCACGCCCTCGCTTCACGGACCTCGTCAGCGCACTGGACAAGCTGATCCGCAATCCCGCATCATTGAAAATAGTCGCCCAGGAGGGAGCAGGGTGAGAGTGCAGATGTGTGTGGTTGATTGACAGACAATGAGGCCACGATGACAGTAAATATGCAGATTGAGAATGAGCAGTAAAAAAGAGGAACCAGGTTTGTCTCTCCTGACTGTTACGGGACAGACACCAGACCCTCTTAGTGCCCAATCTTCTGTACCCTCTTAATGTCCTGCTGGGACCTGTCAGCCTCTTGCTGTGCCCATTTCCCTCCCTCCACATTCTGCCTGTCGGGCTGTTCACTTACAGCAGAGGAGCCTCCACCCCTGACAAATCCCATTGTTTGTCCCTGTCAGTCACTCACAGTCAGATTATAGCCCTGTGTGTCAGCAGGAATGTTGCTGCAGGATATATATGTATAAGCTCTGAACTGTTGTTGTGCTGACAGTGTGTGTAAGTCTTTCCTTTGTTTCCCCTGTGCGCTCCCCCAGGCCGTCCTACAGCCTGCTGGACCAGCGTGCACCTTTAGCCCTCTCGTCGTGTGCCTCGGTGGGGGAATGGCTGAGGGCCATCAAGATGGAGCGCTACGAAGACAGCTTCCTGCAGGCCGGCTTCAACTCCGTGGAGCAGCTGGCCCAGATCACCACACAGTCAGTACCTACTGAGAGTTTTCTTATCTAAACTGAGACTTACAGTATCTCTGGAGGAGCATTTTTGCTTTGCCCACAAGGTCAGAGAGCAAGCCCCACTTGTGGTAGTGACAGCAATTAACGCCTTGCTCACACTGCGTGATTTTCGGACGAATTTATCAGGCATGGCTGATTTTCGCAGGTCGCTGTGTGGTCACTCTTCAAAGACACGATGAGAGGCTCACAGACGCATCGTAGATTCTAATCAGAATTCCGACCTCTAAAACACCTCTGAAGGTGGTGAGGGTTCCATGTAGCAGTGAGGTGCCCCCTGCTCCTAACTGCACTTGTGTAATCATGGAAATCAAAGCAATAACCATGCATGTGAGGGACAGGGTAACAAAGTGAAAATGAGGCCTCAGACCAGGCCTCATTTTTCTGTCCGAGCCCAATGCAGCTCATTCAAGCTGCTCTCTCTTTTCTCTCTATGTTTCACCTCTCCCCCAGTCTGATGTGTCATTCTCTAGCAGCATGACACAGAGACTCACAAATACTGCAAGCTTATGGATCTTACGACAGCAAATCTAGTCGTGTTGTGTTAACTCTGCTTTATTTACTAAAAAAAAGTGACCAAGATTTCCTGAAGTTCAATTTGAATGTGAACATATATGGAAGCCCAGAGGGGCAAAGAGTTGCTGACTGAAATATCAATTTTATGTCCATTAAATCATATCTTTCATTTCTTTATGTTCTTCTTTTCTAATTAGTAATTTTCCCTTTGTCTTTGTTCAGGGATCTCCTCCACATGGGTGTGACTCTGGCCGGCCATCAGAGGAAAATCCTCTCCAGCATCCAGACAATGACCTTTCGAAACAAGAGCACTGCGACTGTGACCTTCTAGCTCACCCCTCACTAACCTGGACGTGAACACCAGCACGCAGTGCAGCCCATGTACTGAGAGCACTCCGGATCCTCTCCTCTGACCTACTTTGAACACGGACTCCAAGAGAGATTGGCCGAATTTATTCATGACCAGGATGAAAAAGAGATTTAAAAAAAAAAAATCTAGCTGAAGATGACTTTCCCCCAGAGGATGAGGGAGTCGTCTGGAGACTGGCGTTTCCCTGTCACCCGCAGTGACCAGGGAAAGAAGCTGATGATGTGCAGAATGACAAATTTTTACAGTTTGTGCTCAGTGTTTTTATATCTACCAGAGATTAGAGAATAAACATGCTCAACCAAGAGGAGAGACAGATCAGTGTTTACAAATTCCTCTAGTATCTTGACGTCTTGAAAACTGGCAGTTGACTCGACCCAATAAAATGTTGCTTCACCAAAGGAGACTGAAAAGAAAAAAGCCAGTGACACTTCAAGGATTCATCTGTTTTCATATTGTTGTGTAATTATGAATGAGAACTGCTTTTACTCTGGGCGTCTTACATCAAATCCATCTTGATTACATTATCACTTCGATACCTACATCAAAACTGAACATTTTAACAGTCAGATTGTACTTTTTCTTTCATTTGATTTCAACATTACCTCCTCTTTGCTCAGGTGTGATGTATAATGCGGACTCTGGAGAGTGCTGAACTCGTCCTAATCAGACTCCTCTCATCTTCCTCAGTCTGGCTCTCCCCTCTCCAAGCTCAGCAGCCAGTGAGGAGAGGAGAGACACCCGAGACATATCAGCACTTTCGTCATTTCAGAGTTAATTGTAATCTCTTAAATAACTCCATGCTTCTCACTCTGAGTGTGTGTGGTTATTTCCACTGCCTGTGATTCTGCCGGCAGCTCCGTTTTTATTATAGTCAGACTGAACAAAGGACCAAGTGGACTCAGAGACCAGAGAACACTGTCAAATTGGTTTTCTTTACGAAGGAAGCAATCTGGCCTCGCAAATGTTTTTCTTGTTATAACTAATACAATTTTTAACTCTGTATTTTCCATCTTCCAGTGCCATTCAGTCATCTTTGTGGACTTAAATGCCAATTTTTAAAGCAGAATCTTGTGGGTGATTCATTTAAATGTGCCGTAAAGGGTTTGCTTTGACATTTTGAAGTTTGGTGTATTCTTTCCTTCATCAGATGTTTGTTATACTGTCTATGAAATGTATCTGCTCTCGCTCAGCTAGCTGCACAAACATTGTTTCTTGACATTTAGATTGGCTAAGGGGTTAGCTTACAGTCAACAGTATCCATAGGTTTCAGGCTGGAATGCTAACAACACTGTTGAGCTCCTGTTTGATTAGCAGAGTGGTGCCCCCCCACCACATTATTACATGTGCTTGTTGAAGAAGAATAATGGACTGGAGTTCAAAATGTCAAAGTATTTCTCAAAGACTTTGCATCTCTTGAAGGATAATACCAGCCTTTTTGACATTTAGGTCATGTGTAATTTTCCCCGGGTGGCTCCCAGACCTGCAGTGAATCAGGAAAATGGAGCTCAAACAGCCACTAAGGGAACTACTTTGGTTACAAAATGCATTGCAACACTTTTCTCGATAGTTTCCTCTTTGTGCCAGGGTGGATTATTTTCTTTAAGTTCTGTTTTATGGTTGATCGTTCTGTTTCCTTTTCCCTATTCCGACTTTTTACTAAAAGCTTCTTGAACCTTATATCACACACAAAAAAAGGTTTCAAGAGGTTTAAAGTGCTATTTTTACACATTTAAAGTCCATCATATGTGATGAATAGCACAAATTCAAATCCCCTTGATGCACACCAAAGGTTTTGTGATGTAATGTTTGCTAACTTAAAGCAACACTGTGTAACTTTTCGTGAGCAACAGCACCCTCTACATGCACATGCACTGATTCATTCTGTTGGGTGTAGTGTCCGAGAGATTGAGTGGTTTTCATTCAGAGAAAAAACAAAGCTTATCAACGTGTTGAGATTCAGGAGATCGTACCTGCTCACCGAGGTTACACAGAACAGGCATTCAGGGTGAGGAGTAGGGATGACAGTGGCACCATTCTGTGTACCATCAAACTCATTTTGGTGCTGCTATTTTAAGGTAGAAAAAGTTGCATAGTGTTGCTCTAAAATGATTGTGATGCTACTTGGAAAAGACCAAATGTGATCAAAATATGTGTGATGCCAAAATCATCCATTCTCTTCCTTTTGTAAAACAAATTGCTGGAAGGCCTTAATCAAAACACTGGTATTGTCGCGCAAGAGTGTGAGACATTCCCACAAGGATTGTGGGAAATGCGATCTTCATATTGAAGGTCTCAGTTAAACTATGAAATCATGAATAGATAAAAAGTATGTTTTGATTACCATCCTGTGTGTACGCTAATCTGTATTCAGTATTCATAATAAAGATGAACAGCCGTGATTATCAGCAAAGACTCTTTCAGTTTCATTGAATGTGAAAAGCAGAAAGATGTTCAGCCTCAACTGAATTCTAATGACCAGTGGACCAAAACTGACAAAGCATGAATATTTATCATCATATGTCATTCTATATAAAAGGGAGTCCCTATTTGACAGCATGTAATCTACCTGTCTGACAACTTCTGTCCTGAATCAAATGATGGCTCAGCACAAAGCCGCTCCACCATTACCATCACACAAGGATGTTTCTGGATTTCCTCAAAACTCTCTTATCTAATTGAGTTTTTCTGTCAGCACTCAAAGATTACAACAAACGGAGTGGTCCTTGGTCGTCTTGTTCTTATCTGGGGTTGGATAAGGCCTCTGCCTGGACTGTCAAACATTGCAGCACCAATGTGAAGTAAAAGATCTTAACAGGGGAGGTTTTTTTATTTTCTGTCGTCTTTGTGGCTTTTGTCAAGGGAAAAAGCCTCTCATCTATCCCATCGCCCCATTTTTTGAGAATGAGAAGGAAACCAGAGACCGCGAGGGCAAGAATCGTACCTCACCCCGCATTCTGTTTTGCAGCTTTGCCGTCTCGCAGCACTTCCTCCTGCCTTCTGTTCCTCCAGAGACACTTCTTTTTTTCTTTTTACCCCTGAGGGCCTCAGAGCTTGTCCTCTCCTATGTTTCCCTTCCTGGTCTTCAGCCCTTTTTAATCATGAAGAGATGTTCTTTTCTTCTCCTGTGCCTCGGGCTGAGAGCAGCTTATAGCGCAGCATAAGCTTAAACTCTCCCTCCCTCCTTCTCTCACACACACATACACGCAAACACACACACACACACACATTTCCTTTCTCTCTCCTCCTATCTCCAAAGCTACTTTAAGCATGCAGGCCGGCTAAGCAGCCGGGGCTTGAAGTCAGTATTTAGATTCATTGATTAATGTACTTTGATTATCTCTGTGTTACTGACTCATTACTCTTGTTCTGTTGCTCTCGTGTGGTCCACAAACTACAGACGTGCACAAGTGGAGCTTCAGTGTGGTGGAGATAAAATAACAATGATTAACATTTCTTCCTCTGAGCATTTTTTTTAACTCCGCAGTGTTTTAGTTTGTATGAATCTCTGTTTTTTTTTTCTGGGTGTCTGAAAGCGAGACATGGGCATTCAACTCTGCTCTCTACCTCTGTCACTGCCCTGCGTGACCCCTGACCCCGCCGTATAGTACAAATCAAGGCTCAGCTTTGTCTGCGTATCTGAATGGCCATTCATTAGGGCTGTCGAGTAAGGAGAGAGCGGAGCGGGCCCGCCAGGTTTTAGCATTTGGTGGGATTGTGTCATTCCCCTCGCATTCCTGTGGTCATTCAAGTGTGGAGAGTGGGTGTGTGTGGGTGGATGGCAGGAGTGGATGGGGGTTAACCAGTGAGACAGGTACATGTGTGTTTGAAAACAAAGGGGGGGCAGGGTGAATGTGATGTGAAATGGTTTCAGTCCGTCTGGAGCAGTAAACACGGCAGAAAGTCAGAGTGTGATCCTGCATTAAACGTGTATTGATTGACGACGTACTCCACTGAGAGTATTGCGCTTCCATAAATTTTAGGGGGTTCACAAGAGACCGATTAATTGTCAAATTCAAAACAGCTGAATTTTAGCTCCAAGTATGGGTCAACCTCTAAACTGGATCACGCAATTCCCAGGATGCAACTCAATGCCATCTTTTGTTTGATTCATTTCCAAACCTTCTCCATTTTGTGATGCAGGTTAGAAAATAAATTTATGTCTTAAACCTAAATCAAGTCAAATTTGATTACCTCAGTGTCAGGGTTATTTATGTTCTAACAGATGAACAGTGTCAGTCTGCTCCGACAGAAAGTACTTTTCAGTTTTTGGTTTACATTTATCAAGGAGGTCGTGTTTTTGTCTGCATCTGTTTGTCTGTTGCATGATTACACCAAAACTACTGGAAAGGATGGTATGGATCAGGAAAAAAGGGATTCAGTTTTGGTGTGGATATGGATCAGGGGGTGGATCCAGGAAAAAACATTTTAACTTTCTTTAACATTTTAAGATTTTCCTTGATTTTAGAGAGAATAACTCAGGGATCTTGTAAAATAAATCTGGCTTCTTTTAGGGGGCGATCCAAATAAAACCTGGATCTAGTGAATTTAAATGTGGTTTCCTAAGGGGACATTTGGGCCTTCGTTGAGCTATGCATTCTACTCAGCAACGTTTTACTTTTTTATTTGGTAGAATTCATACAATCCTTAATTTATTAGAAAAACGTTTCCTCATTCACTTCTTTATCTGTTTCTTGAATGAATTTCAAAGAGTAAAGACATAAATGGGAAAATACATAAAACAATAAAAAGAAAACAGCAAACACAAGAGGAAAAGAAAAAACGGTTTGGGGTACTTTGTGTAAAAACCCTAAAGATGAATTTGAATTTGAGTGTGCCCTGTATTGAAATGATCATCATATCTTATCACTCTACATTTGAGTGTGACCCTTATGGAAACAGCTACATGCACTTTTGCTCTCCAATATGATCTGAGGACAAATTAATTTGTTTGTTTCCAGCATACCACCACCTTGAATACTTTTGCTAAGCCAACTGTGGTGTAAAGTTTTTAGAATGCCCTTTTAACATATAAAATAAGATTATTTTTTTGACTGATTTAATACTTTCTTTTGACTGATTTAATACTTTCTTTTTGAATCTACAGAACTGCTTTTGATTTTCCTGCGCAGCAGCAGCTCAAAGATGGAAAGTTAGATCTGAGATTGTTGCTCCTGTGCCAAGATTTCCCTCCCGGAGAGGACTCGCAGACAATTTGATTCCAAATGGCCCAGTATTTTCTGGTGAAAATCCACCCAGCAGCCAGCTGAGATTATTTTTCAGCTGTGCACGCCGTGTGATGGTGTGGAAAGATAGGAGGCACATTGCGCTCCCGCTCTGTTTCGAATGTGATGGCTGGGAAAAGTTGTCGCTCCCCGCTGTTCTACAATACATCTGTTGACTTTGCTGCAGCCTGTGACAGGCCATTGCTTTAAATACGACTGAGGTCTTAGCTGACCCACCTGATCAAATATAGGGTTGTGAGAGTGTGATTATTCCGTCGTGCTGCAGTGCAGTTTGATGAGGAATTAGTCTTGTACTTTTCATCATGAGCCTAATCCATTTAAATCAATGTAAACCCTCAGATGACGGGCCCCTGCTGTCCCTTATTGTTATTTTCTATTTGTTGCAGCAAGGGTATTCAAATATTGTGATATTATTCACTTCAGTTTGAGGCTGTCATGCTTGAAATCAATGTCTTTTTTGGATCATCTCCATTCATTATTATTATTTGATGTCTGCATCGGAAATGAAGAATGAATTTTGGCCCCAGCCACAGTTATAGATCCATGTTCCTCCTGCTCCTTTGTGCGTCTGTTTGCTCATAAAAATGGATCATTCTCCGAGCCAAATGGTTTGTCGATATATACATTATGACTCCAAAACAGCCATAAGTCACATGTAATAGCAGGTATCTACTCCTTCATCAGGCTTCAAAGAACATATCATGTTTGTCAGATGAGGTGTTAGTGGCATGAAGAATGTGAATATGAACGTCAACACCTTCAGGACAAGAGACCGGCCTCTGCAAAGGTGTTGTGCTGGTTCCTGCTCTGTCTCAGCTTTCAGCACACACACACACACACGCACACACACACGCACGCACAGCAGCCATCCATCTCCCCCGTGGCACCCTTTTGTTTTCCACTCCGCTAAGATGTGCTTGTTGCCTTCTGTGAGGAAATGAAAGGAGTGTGACCTTCTTGCTTCTTATCCTCTCCCTGTGAATCACCCATATTCTGAAACTCAATCCACATGCGTCAAACACCAGTTTACGCTAGAGGGAGAATTAGAAGTAGGAGAAAAATATCAAATTGCTTTAAAAGTCCAAAAGAAGAAGACGACAGGCTTTGTTTGAGACATAAAGCTTTGTGTGTCTGAAGTATGAGGAATGGCAAACATTGTGTTAAAGATGTTTCTGATCAGCGTGATTGATCACCATATGGGTGATTGAACTCAGATTGATTGTTTCACGCTGCAGTGTTGTGCTTAACCTCGCTCGCAGGCCTCACCTTCAGGTCCTAACTCAGCCCGGCTCCCTCTCACCCCCTGAACCCAAAACTGTAAATCTTTACCATCAGTGGAAAAAATGTGCATCCGCCAAAAGTCATCTGGTCAACAAACTGAGAAGCAGAGTGTTTTCATACTGACCACCAGGCGTTTCTGAGCTTCACTTTAATCAGGCAAAAGTTTATAACAGTTTCAGGGTTTGGAGAAACGACTAAACGTCTTTTTAAACATTTCATCTCTTTTTTTCTTTTTTTCCACAGTAAAATCTTCAGCTTTGTTTGTTTTTCATGAACACAGTGAAGTCTTGTGGTCGTATAGCTGTTTACTTTTACGAGACATTTCTGCTTGTTTTTCTGAATGTAAATTGTTCTTTGGCGAGCAGCTGCCTCATTGAGCAATATTCATACATGTTCATCAAGCAAAGGAATAGAAAGAGTCAAACAATCATACACACCAGTTGCTGCACTTTCTGACTATGTAGGGATTTATAAAGAGCCTTAGTATTTGAGTGGTACATGCACACACACATCCATTGTTTGCCTGTGGCCCCTCAAACCTGCCTGCTTTGCATAAATGACACTCCATCAGAACATTGATTATACTGTAAAAACATGACCACTCACGTTTGGTACTGACCCCATGAGCAAACTGTGTTTTTTAGGCTCACATAATGACAGTCCGCAGGGCAGTCAGGACTCTGTGTGTGTGTGTGTGTGTGTGTGTGTGTGTGTGTGTGTGTGTGTGTGTGTGTGTGTGCCTTCCTTATGAGGACAAAAAAAGTCCCCATAATGTAAATCACTACATTCTAAGGTTAAGACATGATTTAATGTAAGGTTTAGGTTTATGTTAGATTAAGATTAAGGTTATGGAGACCTGTTTGAGGGTTAAGTGTGGCTTTTAGGG